CGGACTCAGGGCGGCTGACAGCCTTGTAAAACAGATACAACAATAAAAATACCCAGTTTAAAACCTAATTAAAATGAAATATTTACTGTGGCCTATGTCAATTAAAATTACTCTTAAAACCCCACTAAAAATTCCCCTAGGCCAATCCCGCTTGTTGGAAGAGCCATGTCTTAAGGGCGCGGCGGAAGGAGGGGAGATCTTGGCAATCATGAGGCTGACTCTTGCCAGCTTTCCACTGAGGCACTGGGGATCCCAGCTGTATGTTGTGTGAACTGAGCAAGATAAAAGAGCCCTGCTTTCTTTCAAGTCCCCCCATCATTGCTTCCCCAGAGTAATTCCTGATGTGTTCATGTCGAGTCATCAGCCATCTGTAGCTTTGCCACTGAGGGTGAAAACCGTCTCTGGAACATACTACAGAGATATAAAAGTAGACTTCTTTTGATTGTAAGAAACTACCGGAATAAATTGGCTAGAACAGGGGTCTTCAAACTTGGCCCTTTTATGACTTGTGGACTTCAACTCCCAGAATTCCTCAGCCAGCGTGCCTGGCTGAGGAATTCTGGGAGTTGAAGTCCACAAGCAGGGGTCTTCAAACTTGGCCCTTTTATGACTTGTGGACTTCAACACCCAGAATTCCTCAGCCAGCGTGCCTGGCTGAGGAATTCTGGGAGTTGAAGTCTACAAGCAGGGATCTTCAAACTTGGCCCTTTTATGACTTATGGACTTCCAACTCCCAGAATTCCTCAGCCAGTGTGCCAGTCATAAAAGGGCCAAGTTTGAAGACCCCTGGGCTAGAACAATGCTCACCAACCTTTTCCCTTAATTACCCAAAACCACTAATCAGAAAGTCTTACTGAAATTCAAGAACCAGTTAAGTCTCTTCCTTCAGGGCTGTTGTAATTTCAAACCGTCGCTGAACAAAAGGTCCTAACTCGAGAATTGCCTGTATTATAAAAACGTTATCACTGAATGATCTCGATGTAATATCAACGAACGGCTATCGGTCGTTCCATAAATTTTCATCTTAAAAAAGGATTGCAGGAGATTTGGGAGTATATTTTAGTACAGCTGGCAATCTTTAAGTGAATTTAAACGACCCCGTTTTGATTGGGTAATGGGTTTCATTTGTCAAAGAAAAAAAAATATACTTTTGCCCAATTTTGGATAATTTGCTGAGATTTGGGAAGCCCTGAGTTATAAAGTCCGGAATGAAAGATATTCACTAATGTTGGCTTGCTGACAATCATTTTTCGTTCTTCCTACTGAACTGCTCTGGAGTCCCTGCTTTTTCCTGACTGACTAGTAAAGAAATTCCAGTAGAGATGAGATCTCTGTACTTGCCGTTGAGCAATAAATATTACCCCCTGGCATGTAGATCTGTGAACTCTTCATATAAGAGACATGGAGTTGGATTCCCAAATGGCAGAGTGGGGAATTCTATAGGTGGTGGAAAGGGGTTTCCAACTGACCCTTTGCAACATCACCCTGCCAACAAAAGTGTGTATAGTCAAGGCCATGGTTTTCCCAGTTGCAAGGTATGGCTGTGAAAGTTGGACCATAAGAAAGGCTGAGCGCCAAAGAATGGAGGCCTTTGAACTCTGGTGCTGGAGAAGACTCCTGCGAGTCCCCTGGACTGCAAGGCGATCAAACCGGTCAGTCCTAGAGGAGATCGACCCCAACTGCTCTTTAGAAGGCCAGATCCTGAAGTTGAAACTCAAGTCCTTTGGCCACCTAACGAGAAGGAAGGACTCACTGGAGAAGAGCCTGATGGTGGGAAAGATGGAGGGCAAGAGAAGAAGGGGACGACAGAGAATGAGGTGGCTGGATGGAGTCACTGAAGCAGGAGGCATGAGCTTAAATGGACTCCAGAAGATGGTAGAGGACAGGAAGGCCTGGAGGAACATTGTCCATGGGGTCGCAATGGGTCGGACACGACTTCGCAACTAACAACAACAACAAACTGGAAAAAGACCTGCTCATCGCAACCAGCCTGGATCTGGTTAAAAAAGGATGCTAAAAAAAACCGATTCTGTGTATCACAAAAAAAACACGGAAAGCAGCCCCAAGCAAAATTGTAATTCAATAAGCCTCTGTGAGGTGGAGGCAACTTTTTTTTTTTAACATTCACACTTTATCAACATAGTCTCTGGCTTGCCTTCCTGTGGGCAAAGCCCCAAGTCTGTCTTTAGTTCTCGTCTGAAAGTTGCAGAAAGATGAACAGCTGCCTGAAGATGGCCACCCAAGCTATTGGAGAAGCAGTCAGAATCTCTTCTTTCTCGCTCTCTCTCTCCTGCTTCCATTCCTCAGAGCCTTCGCGCTTTCCGAGGACGGCAGCCGTTGTGCGGTACCGGAGTGTTGTCCGTGATGGAGATCACTTCCAGCCCCCCTAAGGCTAAGCCCTGGATGGCGGCCTGCAAGGGAAAGAGAGTTATCAACCCAGGGCTCATGGAATGCTAAGTCACGGTTTGTTGAAGCACAGCTTCTAGGATAAATCTCTGCTGCTTAGCTTTGGATAAGCTGCAAAGCTCTAAGCCTTGGCTCTGCCACATGCAATTAGCCTGGCTCGCGCCAGCTATACGAGAGCTTCGTGAAATGTGGGAAGCCAGCGCAAGCTTTCTGAACGAGACAGAGAGCTTTTGAGAACTCGCTGTTGCCTTTGGCAAGAATTTAGGGGGCTTCGGAGAGTTTCAGCGTCTACCCTGCTTGATGATGGCTCGGATTCAGCATCTTACCTTTCGTGGGCAACAGAATTGTATCTCTCTCTCCCTGTCTCTCTCTCTCTTAAAATTACAAAACAATTTAGAAATCAAAGGAGGCTGCCTTATATTTAGGAAACAATTGGTTAATAATAATAAATAAATAAATAAATAATAATAATAATAATAATAATAATAATAATAATAATGTTGGAAGGGACCTTGGAGGTCATCTAGTCCAACCCCCTGCTCAGGCAGGAAACCCTATACCATCTCAGACAAATGGCTGTCCAGTCTCTTCTTAAAAACTTCCAGTGTTGGAGCATTTACCACTTCTGGAGGCAGGTTGTTCCACTGGTTAATTGTTCTAACTGTCAGGAAGTTTCTCCTTAGTTCTAGGTTGCTTCTCTCTTTGATTAGTTTCCATCTGTTACTTCTTGTCCTGCTTTCAGTTGCTTTGGAGAATAGCTTGACTCCCTCTTCTTTGGGGCAGCCCCTGAGATATTGGAAGACTGCCATCATGTCCCCCCTCGTCCTTCTCTTCGTTAAACTAGACAGACCCAATTCCAGCAACCGTTCCTTATATGTTTTAGCCTCCAGTCCCCCGATCATCTTTGTTGCTCTTCTCTGTCCTCTTTCTAGAGTCTCAGCATCTTTTTTACATCGTGGTGACCAAAACTGGATGCAGTATTCCAAGTGTGGCCCTAACCAAGGCCTTGTAAAGTGGTATTAACACTTCGCGTGATCTTGTAGTAATCTTGTGGAGCGTTACCTACTGGCTCTTCAGATTCAAAAAGTGGAAGCCGGAGGTGTACGTGCTACATACACCCCTCTGCAGATCCTTAAACCAAATTTGTCTTATATGAAAGAGAGCTTCTCCCAGGATTATGCGGCCACCGCAGAGAGTGGCCACGCAAACTGGGGGGGGGGGGGGGGGGGGGGGGGGGGGGGGGGGGGGGGAGAAAGAGATGTAGCTGCTTTAAGAAGTTGCAAACAAGTGCCGCATTAGCGGCCCTTCAATTAGTTTTTCTGCTTCATAGCCAAGGAGCTGCCAAGCCTGATGAACTCCGGCAGCCATTTCCAAACTGCTGGTTTTCGGGATGAGATGGATTTTGATTTCCACCGCCCCTGCCAGCATGGGGAACGCCACGTTGTTGAGAAAGTTTTGGCCTTCTGGACAAACACAGCTGGAGGACAGCAGATGGGGAAGGGCGTTTGAAATTGAGAACAGGTTTCCAGGGCTTGTAATTGGTGTCTTCTTCGGCTTGCTTGCATGGCATCGCTGATCCCACTTAAGGGACACCCCTCCATCACGGTGGCCCTCGATAAAGGCAGGGGTCAGCCAGTAAAGGCTCCCTTCCCTCCAACAGAATGAATACAAAGAAACAGGAGGTGCTTACCAACCGCCCAGGTCCAAGGCCTTTCACAACAACTCGTACGTGGTGCACGCCCTTTTTAGCTGCTTTCTGGACAGGGAGAGAGAAAGAAACGTGTTAGGCAATGAACCAAAGAGTATAATGGCTGCTACTCTTGACATGCCACCTAGATCCTATTGCCCCTTTCATCTGAATAGGAGCTTCTGCTCAATGGGACAAAGACGGCGATCTCTTTTGAGCAAAATACATTACTGATTTTTATGGTGCTTTCTTTGTCGCGAGCTGCCCAGAGCGGCTGAGAGTCGGGTGGCAATGAGAGTTTAATAAATTATTATTATCTGTGCACAGCAATGCGAAATCACAGCTGCCAGTCCTTTTGCTGGTATGGGCCTTCTTCCCAAGAGCCTGCAATATGTTGGCGTGGTAAAGGAGTGGATCCAAGCCGTGTGGCCTTTTGCAATTGACAGATGGAAATTCTGTCAACGCCCAGATTTTCTAACTTGCTGTCCAAGACTTCTTTGGTCTGGCATCCAGCGTACCG